GAACTTAAGGAAAAATTTCTTAACAGTGAGAGTGACAGAGCACTGGAACAGGCTGCCCAGAGAGGTTGTGGAGTCTCCTTCTCTGGAGATCTTCAAAACCAGCTTGGACGCAGTCCTGTGCCACGTGCTCTAGGTGATCCTGTGTGTGCGGGGGGGGTTGGACTAGATGACCTCTGGAGGTCCCTTCCAACCCTAAATATTCTATGATTCTATGATTCTATTCCTTATGTGCTCTTCACCATCAAATTTGATCTTTGAGTCCATTTTGCAGTTGCTGGTGAGCTCTATAACAGCTAGACTTGTTCTTTTTATTTCATTTGCTTCCTTTCAGACTCTTCGTGCTGTATGAAATGCATATCTGTGGGGTCAGCAATCCATCTCCTGGGCAACTTTTAAAGCAGAAATGTCAAAAATACTTTATTTTAGTTGAGGCTCTAGGAATACTGCATTTCTGCCTGGTGCATCTCCCTTCCTATCACTTCCCTGTGGCCTGCCCAGCAGCAAGCAGGACACACCACAAGTGTCTCTTCTTTTCCTGGCACTTTGGAAACACTGTGGGTCAAAAAGTGCCCTCAAGAGGTGCACCTGGCTCAGAGCCGAATCCTCAGCACTACCAGGCTCAGTGTCCACTCGCAGCAGGGTGAAAGTGGGGATACCAGGATGGGTGTTGGGAGAGGATGAATGGGCCTGCCCAAGCTCTGTGTCGTGTTGAGACATCCCTGAGGTCCTGCTCAAAACCACAATCCTGCCTGCTCCCCTACTGCAAACCAGGCATGGCCAGCGCCTCCCTGCCTCCACCGTCATCCCACGGTGTCTTCTCCAGGGTGGGCCGCGCTCAGGGCACGTTCCCTGCACAGCGTCACAGCCGCCACGAAGCCCTCGCCCCAAGCTCCAACGCTTCCCTCCCCGCCGCGCGCTCCCCGCGCGCCGCTCTGCCACACGAGCGCTCCGCTCCCAGCCCCGCTTCATTTCACTCTTTGGGTTTGTGCGATATCCACGTTATCCGCATCGGCTTACACAAACAGTTTCTCCAGAGAATTTAAACACGTGGCAAACATTTGTCATTTATCAAAGCCATCCTTCTCGCCATGCCTTTCTGGAGAGGCATTTCTTTTATCTTATCCAAAGCCAGAGTTTGTAACGTTAAGATCCTGTCTGGACATTTTGATGTACAGGACACCCCTGAGTGCTTGTTTTCACTTAGAAAGCTAATCTGTTTTAATTTACACAACGATGCCTAAATAAATACTTCTGTTGCTATCATTGAACATCTGCTATGTGTGTCCATGCAGACACTTGTGTGCATCCGTATCCCGCAAATATTTGAAGGAACCTTAGACAGCACTGTAGATTAAATGCATCATATGTGTAAAAATGTAGTCAGCTGCTGTGTCCCCATGAACCAATGGTTCGTTACTCAGCTGCTGTAAACACAATTTCAGAGTGTGTAAATACACAGCTAGTCCAGACTAATTCAATTAATTCCTCATTGTTTGCTTATTTGCTGTATTTTTAATTATCAGATTAATAGATTTTTTTCCTACTTATGACCGATAAGGCTGCAGGATGTACCTGCTGTTGTCCGAGAGCAGTGCAAAAGCTGCTATCAGCTCCTAATGAATTGCTAAAAATGCTTCGGCAGTGGAAACTCCCTGAATGCTGCTTGCAGAGATTAAAGTTTGTTCCGTCTGCATGACAGAAACACATAGCAGGCGTCTCCTGCACGCACTGGTGGGCCCATCACTGTCAGTGAGGCTTAATAGCTCCCTTTGGGGAAAGTTTTATCAAAGTGCTTTTTTTTCCCCCCCTTTAAATTACACAAGGGCAGCCAAGGATCAGGATGGAACTTCTAGGGAGGAACAAAGACCAAGGACCCACAAGATGAAGACCTAGGGCTCAAGCCTGAAACTGTCCAAGATGTGATGTTATCATCATTGGATCTGAGTAGTTTTTTATTTTGTTGTTCACAGATTCACAATCCACCACAACACTGCAAAGAAAAGGAGTAGAAGCTTTTGCTCCAGTTTTTGCTCCAGCCACATCATTTGGAGCTGAGCAGCCTGCCGAGGAAAACAACTTTCTGGGACCCCTTTCCTGCCTGGTTGCCCCTTCCCAGAGAGCAGCTCTAGGCTTCTGCAAGGGTTCTCCAACCATATTCGAGACCATGATGCAAGATGGCCAAAACTACTGGCCAGCTAATGTTGTTTTGAGTGCCAAGAAAACTCAGACATCACTGTTCTACGGCAGTTCGCAGGAGCGGGGAGATGAAGCTGCAGACTACTTTCACATTGGTGTGAAGTGCTGTGCCAGTCTTGGGGCTTTTTCTGCGTCTCCTGTAAAGCCTCCATAGTTCTACACAAATACTGAATTCTCCCCATGGGGGTGTAGTGGCACAGATGGCTAAACCACATCTGAATCAAGTATGGAGGAAAGAACCTATGTGAAACACAGCCCCTGCACAAACACCTGCAAACAGAGTTTTCAGGAAGAAATGACTTCCCCAATGACTTTGCTGCACTGTTTCCTGGGCAAAGAGCCCAAATGTGAGGCAAGGACTCCCAAGTCATGGTGATATCACCTCTCTTTTGAGGCCCGGGTACTGCTGAGCAGAGAAGAAGCTGCCCTCAAAGCTCCCCTAGTTAATGTTTGAGAGGTTTTTCCTGGGAAAGGGTTTGGGTGTTTCTTTTTAATGAGTGCAACATGCAAGCGGCCCTCTGCCTTTTTATTTACTCCAGTCTTTCTGGGACCAGGAGACATCACGCATTTCTAACCATTACTCAACCACTTTCAACAGCAAATTTCTTCAACAAACCATCGATTGTGTCCGTATAACACAGGCAGTGATGAAGTGAAGTAAGTTCTTTATAATAAAATCTCAAATTCTTACATCCAATCAATAAGAATTTCCCAGGTAATCATACATCTTTTTCCTGGTAAGAGATATGGAATACGAAGCTGGGGTGTAATTCAGTTGGGTTTCCATTAACCTGTTAGCCCACGAGCAGAGGCAGTCGAAGCCCAGTGGCAGCACTTGGTACCCAAGAAATAAATGAACCCTCAGCACTGCCTCAAATCAAGGCACAGATTATTAAAAGATGAAAAATAACTGGGAAAAATAAAGCTCTGCTGCTGCTCTTCCAACCTTTCTCTCACCACGGCCTTGGCAGCCCCCACAGCAATCCCAGAGCAAGCCTCAATTTTTGCTGGTAGGTTATGAAGAAAAGCTTTGGCTGCTGGTGCCATCCTGCCACAGCAGCCATGAAGACAGATGTTTTAATGAGGGAAAATGCTTCCTTCTCAAAGCTCTCCCCACACTGACAAGGGCCTGCTCTTCCTCCTACCAAGGCTGTCATCACTATGTAATGAGAGTCACGGCTACTATCAAAAAGAAACCCACTCCGGGAAACACTCCTCACGCCCTCCCGAAGGAGGTAGCACAGGGGAGAGAAGAGGTTACACCAGCGTGGCAGCTCTGTTGGGAGAGCCATTGCATGGCACTGGTGAGGGGAAGGGACATAACATTTCACGCCTTTAACGACCACAGCCAAATCCGGCGAAGCTCTTGAGCAAGAGGCACGGAAAACGCCGCC